CCACAACGTGCAACTGTCGTCACTTTTGGTTTCTTGAGACCTGCATATGGAGGACGTCTCGAGCGGGAGCCTCGTCTGTGAATGAATTGTGAGAAAGTCTTAGGCGGGAGCTCCCTCCCTATGGGGCCCGCACTGCATGTTCGAATCCGAGCGGGTCATCCGCAACGTGCAACTGTCGTCACTTTTGGGCTCTTGAGACCTGAATATGGAGGAAGTCTCGAGCGGGAGCCTACGGCCCAGCCCGAAGGTTTGCCCCGACGGCTTCGCGATCTAGCCGTCGACAGACGCGCGCGCTGGCCGAGGCGGCGACGGCGCTGAGGAAAATGGATTTGCTTGCCCCGACGAGGGGGAAGGGGAGGTGCACATGGAGAAAAGGCAGGGGGATGAGGAGGGAAGGGGCATGGGGGAGGCCGACGACGAGGAGGAGGTGGCGCGAGATGAGGAGGAGGAGGAGGAGGAGGAGGAGGAGGAGGAGGAGGAGGAGGAGAAGGAGAAAGAGGAGGAGGAAGAGAAATAGAAGGGGGAAGAGAGGGCAGTGCATGGGGCGAGAGGAGAGGGTGTCCGCCAGGGGGAGGAGGAAAGGGCAAAGGGTAAGCTAAACAGATTCTCATGTGGGGTCCTACCGCCGGAGTAATTTTAAGTGCTCGCAGTGCGGCAACGGCAAGGTTAGTCGCTTTTCCACCCACGGCCCTCCCCCTGCCGCGCCCGTTTGTAGCCCTTCTCTGTCCCTCTCCCCTGCTGCCCTGGCGGGGGGGGCATAAGGGCATCAGCCTCCAGCGCTCTGGTAACGCAGTGCTCGTTGTGTGCCTCGTCGACTACTGTTATTCATCGCATTGCAGGGTCGCTGGTCTAGGCGAAGCTTGTTCTGGACCGAGGAGTCCGATCCGCACGGGGCGCCACCCCAACCGTGCTGGCATCACGGTTGAGCGTGGACCTTGGCCAATCTTTTCAGGGGCGTCCGGCCCAATAACGGAGGAGGAGGAGGTGCTTGCCGTCGTCGTGGAGTCCGTCGTTGGAGGAGGGATTTCTTCGAGTGCTCCCCCTGGGAGCGTGCCGGGCGTTCCTCCTGCTAGGTGCGCCTCTGTCTGCTACCGCTGCTGCCTCCTCCTTCGGCGACGAGCACGGAGGGGAGGAGGCCGCGGCGCTCTCCCTGTTCGCCAGTGGCCCTGCTAGGGGGCCACGTGCGAACTCTACCCCTACCCCCCACGACTTCTAAGGGGGAGGGTGGGGTTCACTTCGCTCGGGAGTTCCCGAACGAAGTGTGCCCCACCTCCCTCCTCCGAAATCGTCGGGGGCAGGGGTAGGGTTCGCACGTGGCCCCCTACCTGCAGGCCCAGGCCGCGACGGGGGAGTCGGGGGGAGCGGGGGAGGCGGAGGATCTCGGGCGTCGCTGGCCAGAGCCAGCACGCAGCATCCCCCACCGCGGAGACGGCGGCACGGGTTGACATGTGCGAGCTTGCTCCATCTTTGTCTGTGTTGTGACGCGTAGGGGCCTGCTCCATGCTTGCCCGGGTGGATGGTGGAGTTTGTGGGCTGCCCCGTGACAGCACCCGCCCCGCCCTGCCCTGGTGGTACCAGGCAGGAGTTCACCTTCTGTTTCTTCTCGTGCCGTCCATGGTGTTGTATCCATGGACAGTATTACCCAGCCTGCCTCTTGTCCCGACTGGCCGCGCTGACGTTGTCAAGCTTGTGGCGAGTGTCTTCCAGCGAGGCTGGTGCTTTCTGCGCACCCCTGGCCTCCCTGGCCGCTCCCCTCGGGGACTCTGTGGTCCATGCCTCTCTTCTCTCTACCTCTTCCTCCCCCTCCGCCTCAGCTAGCCTACCTGCGCTCTTGTTGGTGCGATATCGCCTTGGAGCGGAGGTTGCTTCTGTGGCTGAGGAGAAAATCGGGTCTTGTTTCTGGGTCCGATTAGTAGGTCGTGAACTCACGCATGCTGATGACAAAAAACGATGACGATCGGCGATGCGGCACCCGAGAGACCCGACATTGCGAAAAGCCGCGATCAAGCACGACCAGAGTCTTATAGACCCGATCTTCTTCTGCAGCATGTTTCGAGCCGCATCGATCTGCGATCGTCCTTGGGCCCGAAGCGGGCGGAAACACTCGGCATCAAAGCCTTGCAACGCCTTGATCTCAGGGACGGTGACAAATTGTAGGCCTTTGAGATGGGGTCGAAGTAGACGGGGTCGGAGAATCGCTCCGCATCGCCGATGCATCGGCGATGCGGCTCGACGTGGAACCCGAGTTGAATCACGTCGACGTCGCCGATGCACCGCCGACGTCGACGATGCATCGCCGGTGCATCGCCGATGCATCGCCGATACATCGCCGATGTATCGTCGATGTCTCGGCGATGCGGCGCGGTCCTCCGACCCCATCTACGCGGCCTTTAAGAACGCTCAGGTCAGGAGAGGCTCTGCCTCCTGTTCGAGGGCTCCGACCAGTTCGAGTGGGTGTCGACCGACGAGCTCCTCAGCACAGTGTGCGGCAGCGACGGCCAGGTCTCGCGACACTGGGCCCTGACCTGACCCCGACACCCAGCGGGAGGACGAGAAGAGGAAGAGGGCAAGGAGGAAGAGGAGGAGGAGGACGAGGAGGAGGAGGAGGAGGATGACGAGGAGGACGAGGAGGAGGAGGAGAAAGAGGAGGAGGAGGAGGAGGAGGAGGAGGAGGAGGAGAAGGAGGATGAGGAGGAGGAAGAGGAGGAGGAGTAGGAGATACATGGGAAGGAGGGGGAGGAGGGCAAGGAGGAGGAGGACGAGGAGGGTCATGAGGAGGAGGAGGACGAGGAGGAGGATGAGGAGGAGGAGGAGAATGAGGAGGAGGAGAATGAGGAGGATGAGGAGGAAGAGGATGAGGATGATATACATGGGAAGGAGGAGGAGGAGGACAAGTGTGAGGGGGACAAGCTTAACGCGGACGTGGAGGGAAAGGAGGAGGATTGCGAGAACGAGACGGAGGAGGAGGAAGAGGAGGAAGAGGAGAAGGAGGATGGGGAGGAGGAGGAGGAGGAGGAAGGACGAGAAGAAGGAGGCGCGGACCTCAGCGCCTCCCTCAAGGGCGAACCCGAGAGGGAGGTCCAGTACGGGCGGGCGGCCCGCCTGCCTGTCGAGCAGCACCGCCGCCACGACGCCGTAGTAGAGGTATGCGGCGGGGGCGAGCGACACGACGGCGGCAGGAGCACACCTACCTAGTCAGAGCTCGAACTTGCGCCGTCTTGGGCGAGCTCCCTTCGCCGAGGAATCCTCGACTGAAAAGCACCGGTGGGGCCAGCACGTTTATCAACAGCACCCACCGCGCAAGGAACCGAAACGGGCGGGGGCCCCAACCGGGCCGAAGGGGCCGCGGGAAAACCTTCGCGCCCTTCAGCCAGCACAATCTTCTGCCCCGACTTGGGGTGAACTCCGCGCTCGAGCCGCCGCACGTGCATGCGTTGGTTGGCGCGAGTGCTGGGATTGTCCGCGGGGCCCACACAAACCGCCAGCAGCTTACGCATGCTGCCGAGCGCACCGTTGGCCCCGCATCCCTTGCAACAAAAGACAGGGCCGCAGGAGAAAACGTCATGACCCAAATCGCGGAGGCAATCCACGTCTGAGCCTGGTACGGGAGGCAGGGGCGTGGGCGGCTCGCCGACCTCTTGGTCGACGTCAAGGCAAAGCGTGCTCGCAGCCTCCAGAGCAACAGTGACGAGAAGGAGGAGGAGGAGGAGGAGGAGGAGGAGGAGGCCGAGGCGGAGGAGGAGGAGGAGGAGGAGGAGGAGGAGGAGGAGGAGGAGCGCCGCCGGAGGCCGAGGAGGCCGAGGTCGAGGAGGAGGAGGAGGAGGAGAAGGCTGCCCCCGGAGGGGCGGGGGCAGCCCCCCGGTGGGGTCAGGGCCCAGGCGCGGGGCCCGCCGAGGTGTGGGTGCAGGGGCGCGGGCGCGCGACGCTGGCCAAGGCCTCCTCCTGCTTCGCAGCAGCAGCAGCAGCACCACCACACCACCACACACCGACGACACCACCACCACCATCAGCAGCAGCAGCACCAGCACCAGCGTCAGCATGAGCATCAGCATCTGCATAGCATCATCAGCATCGTCCACGCCACCATCGTCATCATCATTATCATCCTCATCATCATCACATCATCATCATGCTCCTCCTCCTCCTCCACCTCATCATCATCATCATCATCATCATCGTCATCATCATCATCATCATCATCATCATCATCATCATCATCATCATCATCATCATCATCATCATCATCATCATCATCATCATCATCATCATCATCTTCGTCATCATCATCATCATCATCATCATCATCAGCGCCATCATTATCATCAGCATCATCATCAGCAGCATCATCGGCAGTAGCATCAGCATCAACACCATCAGCATCATCCTCCTCCTCATCATCATCAACAGCATCAGCAACATCACCACCATCATCATCAGCAGCAGCATCAGCATCACCATTCTCATCATCATAAGCATCATCCAATAGCAACCGCAACAGCATCATCATGATTATCATTCGCATTATCATTAGTATTATTATCATTACCAGCCATATTATCAGCAATATCATCATCATTCGCAGCACCATTCGCATCACCAGCATCACCATCATCATCATCATCAGCAGCATCATCATCATCAACATCATCATCATCATCATCATCATCATCGTCATCATCATCATCACCATCAGCAGCAGCACCATCATTATCATCGTCATCACTATCATCACCAACATCATCATCATCTTCCTTCTCCCCCTCCCTCTTCCTGTCCCTGTTTCCCTTCCCCTTCCTCCCACATCGTCCTCGTCGTCGTCGTCGTCCTTCTCCTCCTCCTCCTCCTCCGCTTCCTCCTCCTCCTCCTCCTCATCCTCATCCTCCTCCTCCTCCTTCTCCTCCTTCTCCTCCTCCTCCTCCTCCTCCTCCTCCTCCTCCTCCTCCTCCTCCTCCTCCCCCTCTTCCTGTTCCTCCCGTCCGTCCCTCTGTGTCCCGCTCGCTGCCCCCCATCACTTTCCGTCCCCTCCGCGCGACGTGTCATGCCCTCCCCGAGAGGCCCTCCTGCTCGTCCTCGTCGTCGCCGTCGTCGCCGTCCTCCTCCTCATAATGCTCCCTTTCCCGTCCTCCCTCCTCATTCTTCCTTCCCCTCCTCAGCCCTCCCTCGCTCGCCGGCGCAGATGGAGCGCATCCGTCAGAATCAAGCTGAGGCCAGGGTGCGGCGCAGACGCCGCACTGTTCCGTGGTCATTTCCTTTGACCCTGCCCCCAAAGGGCCTGAGCACCATCCTCATCCCTCCCCCCTCCATCTCATCTTCTCCTCCTCCCCCTTCCCCTGGAAGGTGAGGGTTCTCGCCCACTCAGAGTGCGCCCCCTTGGTCTGCAAGCGGCTCTGCATACTTGCAAACCCTTGTCAGTAGCCTCTTGTTGAGCTCTTGCGCGGATCATCGAATTCCGAGTTCCGAGTTCTTCTCTTCTTTCCCACTCCTTGGCGGCCTACAACAGTGCTAGGTCAGGATGCAGGTCGTCACCAGGAGACCTGGCACGATCTCGGCTAAGACTGGGAGCACGCAGCAGCGCCGCTCTGCGTAGGACTGTGGTGGAACTTCCCTCTTCTTCTAGCCGACCGCCCTCCTCTCCTCCTCCTCCTCCACCACCTCCTCCTCCTCCTTCTCAACCCCCTCCTCGTCCTCCTCCTCCTCCTCCTCCTCGTCCTCCTCCTCCTCCGCACCCCGAAGCCAGTTTTTTTGGGCAGGCCGGGCGTTTCGCCTGAAACTTCCGCACCAGTTGTGGCCCTGAAGCTCAAACGTTGGCAGCAGCTTCACGGGTGGAGGGCGGGTGGTTTTCAAAATGTCGCTCTTGCCTTTAGCGCCGCGCACGTTCGTTTTTAAAAACATTTGCAAGAACTTCACGGACTGAGGGCGGATGGTTTTCAAGATGTGGCTCTCGTATTCGCGACGCGCACCTTCGTTTTAACAAGTTGCAGGAGCTTCACGGACTCCGGAAACGACAACGACAATTATGACGGTTCTCTCCGACAGTGGAAAAGATGTGGATAGCGCGCCACCGTCGCCACTTTCAGCAACGTACCTTCCAGACCAGGAGGAGGAAGCGGATCTTCCGGAGCCTTGGTCCGAATGGATCAAACAAGCAACACAGTACGCGGAGAATACCGTTTCAATAATGAGCATTGCTTACTGATTGGAATACGCTTATCAAGCAACGTAAATGGGATTGGGTCCGCCAGATTGCCACGAGTACGACAAAGGAGTGGGTACGAACAGTTTTACGGTGGGATCCTGAATGGGATACGCAGACACAGACGCAACGACGGGTTGGACGACCGACGACACGATGGTGGGATGATGTGCTGCGGCACGCGCAGCAAACAGCTCTGAACCCACCAACAAACCCGACGGAGTTATTGGCATTTGCAGCAACAGAGGAGTTGTACACATTAAGGCCAGGTTCTATTGAGCAGTGAGTGGCTATTGTTGTATGTTTCACACACACACATTGTAGTACTATGTGCCGTTTTCTTGTCTATTCCTATCTCTACCCCATCCCCCGTTTCACCCTCCCTTGTGTCACCTTGTCATCCTTCCGTGGCGCCCCGGCTTCCCCCTGCAGCGCCCCCGCGGCGCCTCGACGCAGGCCGCATCCACATCCATCCGCACCCGTTTCGACAATGTGGCTCTCGCCTTTAGCGCTGGGCGCCTTATGAACACTTGCAACAGTTCCACGGATTCCCATGATCACCGTACCAGAAATGGTGCTTTGGAGGGATTAAGGATTATGCGGGTGCGACAGTTACGTTGATTCGCGTTGTTGAAGTCCCAGGAATGGCTTTCTGGCACGATTCAGGATCGTCTAGTCACAACAGTCTGGTTGATCCGTGTCGTTGGAGCCTCGAGAATCATATATTGGCATGCTTCAGGGTCTTCTAACGGTTGTCTTCCAACGAGGCAGCTCCTCCAATGGAAGTGAACCGTTGTAGGGGCCCATGAAGGGGGAGCTTGGAGGGAGGGTATATTCCAACGTCGTTGATGACTCTTGGGTTTACACTGGTCCTCCTCCTCCTCCTCCTCGTCCTCCTCTTTCTTCACCTCTTCCTGCTTCTCCCCCTTCGCCTCCGCCTCCGCCTCCGCCTCCACACTCCTCCTCCTCCTGCTCTTCCTCCTTCTTCTCCTCCTCCTCCTCATCATCCTCCCTCCTCCTCCTCCTACTCCTCCTCCTCCTCCTCCTCCTCCTCCTCCTCCTCCTCCTCCTCCCCCTCCGCCTCCTCTCTGGCGGAGTCCCGCCCTTCCGCGCCGCGCAGGGCCCGCGGGGCCACGCCGAACACTTCGTGGAGGGCGAGGCGCTGGAGCTGTCACAGCTGCAGTGGAGGCCCCTCACCGGGGGGGCAGCCGCCCGAGGGCGCGAAGCCTTCCCGTGCTGCTCCGAGGGAGGCCTTCACGACGACCGCGCCTCCTCCTCCTCCTCCTCCTCATCCTCCTCCTCCTCCTCCTCCTCCTCCTCCTCCTTCCTCCTCCTCCTCCTCCTCCTCCTCTCCTCTCCATGGTCGCGTCGGTGTTCGGCCGTTGTCGGCCTCAGGGGGCCCTCGGGACCGTCGAGGGACGACTCGGGACGAAAAACCGGTCCTGGGGCAAGGGGCGGGGCTTCCAGGGACCCCGCATCGGAAACATCAGGACGTCGCATGGCTGGGGACATCTGGCATCTCGGGGGCGGGGGCGGCGAGAGGTTGGAGGTTTTCGAGGTGTTCGGGTGCTTTTGCGGGACGCTGGCAGCCTTCTGTTCTCGGGATGTGTTTCAGCAGCTGCGCGCCTCGCCGAGGGCGTCCTGGGGCTGCCGGGATCGTCCGGACGGCCGCCTGAGACCCCAGCTGCGGCCCGACAACCATGAAAACCACCAGCCCGGGGCGGAGATGTTCCATAGTTCTCGGCCTCTCGGGGCCCTCGCAGGGCCTCGGGACCGGCAGAAACGGCTCGGGCTGACACACCATCGCGGGGAAGTGGTCAGGGGGGCCCTTCTCGGGCCTCGGGGCCGTCTCTCGTCGTGAAAAGATGGCGGCGGGGGGGTTTCCGCCTCTCTCGGCCCCCGAGGGCCCTTCCCGGGCCTCGGGGCCGTCAGAAAAGGATTCGGGATGGAACACCAGTCCCCCGGGAAGGGGTCCAGACCTTCTTGGGGGCCGAAGAGGACAGAACAGCAGCAGGACCACGACATCTTTCGAACCTTGAGATCCTAGCGGTTCGATTTGTTTCGGAGCGGGGCGTCTTCGCCTGTTTTCGGGCAACGGGGCCCTCACATGTCGATCCAGCTCGAAAAATGGCGCAGGAAGATGAGGGCTCCGGGCGTGACTTTTTTCTTTTATAATGTTGCATTTGTTCGCCACGTCGGATCTCAGGGGACCGCCGATTGAGTCGGAATCTTGGCCGCCCCGACGCGCCCGCTTTGAAGCGCAGCACGTGCCGTGTTCAAGACGTCCGTGCTGGCACCCTGCGTGCTGTCCCCCCCCCCCCGCCCTTTACGTTGCATCTCTGGGGGACCCCGCCTTTCCCAAGAATTTGTATCTTTTCTTGCGCCCGACGCGTGCTCGATGCGGATTCGACGCGGATTTGGCGTGGATTTGCCGCGGATTCGACACGGATTCGACACGGATCCGACGAGCCCGACATGGATTCGACACGGATTCGACGCGGATAGGGCCGCGCCTGGACAGACAAGGTCCCCCGAAGATGCAACATAACGTCCTCCGCCCGCTCGTCGGCCTCCTTCCTCCCACGCTTCCCCCATTCAGGCCAGTGAACCGCCTCAAGGTCCCACCACATCCTCCCCTGAGATCCGACGTGGCAGAAAAAATGCGGCGTCGCAAAAAGTCGCGACCGGAGCCCCAGACCCCATCTTTCTGCATGACTTTTCGTGCCAGGGCGATCTGTGAGGTTACCGGGGCCCGAAAAGGAGCGCAAACGCTGGTTGTGAAAAAATGGCCGCGCCAGGATCCCAGGGTCGGATTTGTTTGTGTCTGGGGGGAGGAGGGACTACAGGGGAGGACACGCGAGAGGGCACAAGACCCCTCCGAGGGCCATATTGCCACGGGAATGTAGAAGGCATGGGTCACCTTGATTTGGCAGGGTCGACCTACCATCAGCATCCACTGTATGAGCTTTTCGCCTCCGTCCCCCTCTTGGCCCGCAGCCGCAGGCGCCCGAAGCTGCGCCGGCTCCTGCTGCGCGACGAGGAACGCCTGGGCCTCCGCGGGTTCGTGTCCGGGTACGGCCCAGCGCGGCGCTGGGCTCGGTGGGCCTCGGGGGCGGCAGGGTGAGCGCTTTCTTGTTTCTGTTCCTCCCCGGGGTGACGCTCGCTACCCGGAGCAAGCCCCCAGACCCCCTTCGCGCTGTGACAACAATCGCGACGGGAGGTTCTTCGCTATCTTTGGCCTCCGGGGGCTTGCTGGGCCTCGGGGCCGTCAAGAAACGTCTCAGGATGAAACATCGGTCCTGGGTAGGGGGTACAGACCTCTGGGGCCCCTGGGGGTCGACGTTGTGAAAAAGATCACGACGTCAGGGGTCTCCCCCACCCCTGGCTTGATGCCCACCAAAGAATGTTCTAAGAACCTTTTGTGATCTGCTCGAGAGATTTTCAGAACATTTCTGGCCGAAGCTGTCTCGCTTAAACACGTCGGGATGATGTTCTAAGAGCATTTCTTGGTGCTGAAAATATTGTTGGGTTCTGAAAACATGTCGTGGTAATCCTATAGGAGTGCCGGGACGCTCGGTCGCTGCTCACTCCTGGGTCTCGGAAGCGGCAGGCCCGTTTTTTGTTTCCGGCTCTGTTCTTCGCAGCGTTCCAGGTCGACGTCTCCCCCCCCTTGAGCCGCATGCGAGGCTCGCGGCGGAAACGCGAGGGAGAAGGCGAGGAGATTTGGCTCCACATGCCACCAGCGCGGGTGTTTGTGTGTGAAGCCGCTGGGCAACGTTAGGGGGGTTCAGTGGGGGGGAGACATCCACCTCGAATCGTCTCTTCGACCAGGAAGCAGCAGGGCCGTGTTAGCTCCGTGTTTTCTTCCGTCGCGTTTGCTGTTTCGGTTCCGTCGCCGGTGCTTCTTGGTTCCGATTCAAGGCGCTGTTTTTGTAGATTGTTCATTTGTTGGGAAGGGGTCGTTTCGGGAACCCCGTTTGGAAGCGGTATAACATACACGGCCCTGCCGTCTCCAGGGCTCACCAAGGCGCTGGGACGCCTTCGTCACGCGGCAGGTCGAGCTTGCCCCCGTGCACGGCAGGTGGCACCACGTGCTCGCCTACCCGCTGGGCGGGGATTTCACCAAGGCCCGCGGGCTCGCAGAGTCTGGGGGCCCCCGCTTCCTCTCGCCGACGACGGCGGGTTCTGCTGCTTCGCAGAAGCACGCTCAGGGGCCCTCGCCGTCGAAGAACTGCTCGGATGGAGAGCCCGTCCCGGGGATGTGACACAGATCTCCACAGCCTGGGGCCCGTGCACACCATCGGCGTCACCCCAGCATACTAATACTATGTGCGCGTCGCCCCTCCAGGGGCGACGCGCGCACCGAGAAATCTTCTAGTATGCGCGTGGTGGCGGCCGCTTTCTGGCCACACCGCTCGGGAAACGATCTACTACAAGATAGGTATGCTCTGTGTTCGAGTCGGACGTGCGCCTCCACGGAGGACATGTAGTACTTGTATTAAGTCGGGCCTGTCCCTCGACAGGAGGAATATTCAAAAATAGTCAAAGAATAGTCAGGGGACGATGTTTTGTATATTTTGGGACTGTATTGGAGTATTATTTGAGTACCGCGCAAGCCCTTTTGCACAAAACTTTCACGGATTGAGGGCGGGTGGTTTTCAAAATTTGGTTCTCGCCTTAGCGCCGCGCACATCCGTTGTTTAATTCTGTAAGTGTTTCACGGATTGAGGGCGGATGGTTTTCAAAATGTGGTTCTCGCTTTAGCGTCGCGCACATCCCGTTTTAAATATTACAGGAGTTTCACGGGTTCGTATGGCTAACATGCCAGAAATTGCGTGTTGGAACGATTCAGGATTGCCCGGGCGCAACAGTTACGCTGACTCGGGGTGTTGAAGTCTCGAACTGCGTTCTGATGCGATTCAGACGCAACCATCAGGTTGATTCGTGGCGTTCGAGTCCCGAGAATGGTATTTTGGCACGCTTCAGGATTCTCAAGCGGTTGTCTCCCGACGGGGCACTTCCGTCAGTGGACAGGAATCCTTGCAAGGGCCTATGAAGAGGGAGCTCGGAAGGAGGGATTATTCCAACATCGTTGATGAGTCTTGGGTTTGCACTGGTCCTCCTCGTCCTCCTCCTCCTCCTCCTCCTCCTCCTCCTCTCCTCCTCCTCCTCCTCCTCCTCCTCCTCCTCCTCCTCCTCCTCCTCCTCCTCCTGTGTCAGCCTCCGGGGCCTCCCCCACGAGGCTCCCGCTGCTCCCCCCCCCGCCCCCGCGAGGCGCTCCTGCGGCCCTCCGAGAGGGGGTGGACCGCCGCGCAGCGGGAGGCGGCCGCCGGGGCGCTGCGGTACCTGGGCGAGACGCTGGCCTCGCAGTGCGCCAAGGCCGGAGGGGCGCAGGCAGCCTGAGATCCGACGCTCCCCAAAAAGAGGAAGCGGCGGGATTTGGGCAGTGTTCGGCCTCCGGGGGCCCTCGCTGGGCCTCAGGGAGCGTCAACACAAAGATGCAGGAGGAAAAGCCGGTCCCGCGGAAGTGGTCCAGACCTCCGGGGCCCACGCATCGAACAAAATTGGAGCAGCCGGATGACTGGGCAGGAGGAGGGAAGGGGGAGGAGGGAGTCCGTGGCCGCTTTTCGGCTGCGAGCGAGGGAGGGGGAAGTGAGAAGGAGAAGGCCTTCTCAGTGAAGGCGGCGGGGCTTCTCAGAGGCCCCCTCGCGCCTTCCGAGGATTGTTTTCTGCGTCCTCGGGGAAGAGGCTTAGAGCACTTCTCAGAACGCTGGGGGACTTCCGAGCCTTCTGAGAAGGCCTTGTCCTGCTCACTCGCCCCCCGGGCTCGTCGCCGAGCGTCGCCATTTCGGCTCAAGTTTGAAGCCCGAGTCGCAGGGCTTCGACCTTGTGGCTCCCGCCGCCGTGCGACTCACCCGACGCACTCGTGCTCCCCAAGGCGGGGGAACCGTCACTGTAAAACCGTCTATCTGTTCCAAGACGGGCTGGCTCATGTCGGGCACGGATGTCAGCAGCAGCTTCTCGCGTGGGAGTATTCTGTGCGGTGCATGTGGTTTCCGTGCGAATCTTGGCCACCTCTGATGGTGCTACCACTGCGGCACGACACTCAGTCATGTCCAGCTGAGCGAGGGGGCCGAACGCTACGGTGCAGGTCAACCCACTAGGGAGACGTCAAATCCTGTGACAATGCCTGGTGCAGTTGGAGGACCGCCTGGACGAACTCCAGTCCTCGCCGCAGGTGGAACATGCGAAATCGGGACGTTCCTGCCCCCAAGGCCAACCCAGAGCTGGAAGTTGCGAATTGCTT